ATCCGTAGTTCTACATTATAAGGTTGTTGGGTTTATATGGCTTTAAAGGCCTTATGAGTGTGTAATGAAAAATATTTATTACAGTGGAACATAAATTCAGTGGGAATGTGGTCTCTTGTGGACCATACTAAGTAAATGATGTTTATTGATACCGGACTGTGCTTGACGATCTAGGTCAATCGATTGAAAAACCTAAGGTACCTGAGCATAAAGAATAAACCGAGAAGGGTTTTAGGTTAGCCCTTGATGAGGTCGGAGCTTATGCCTAGATGAGTAAGCCGATGGACTGTGTGACCCTTGTGTGTGATGGTAGGCCTACAAAGACGGGGGCCAAATCTTCATCCATGTTTCACGACATGCATATCGATAGATCATTCGGAAAAGCCAGTTATCCACCTTTGGGTGAAGCATATGCATGTGCGAGAGAGATACCCCTATATACCATAGAGTTGTGGTCGCATCAGGTCGTGGTAAACTTGACTCATCTTTAGGGGAGGACCTGTAATCCACAGCCTGGGATTGCGACCCCTTGGCTCATAGACTAGACTTTGGTGACCCGCTAATGAGCCCATGCTTGGACTGTGGGTCATGGGAAACATTGGGTCAATTTAATAAAGCAAGTGTGATCTGTAGTCCATAGTTGAAGGTGGAGTACCCCGTGATCGTTGATAGAATTCCTGAACCATATAGATCCACTTCCCATCATATTAATTTAATTGCGTTCATTTTATTATAGAAATTATTTTAGATTTATTATTTGAATTTTTATGAATCTTTTAATATTTTATTTATAATTTTTGGAATTATAAAAATGAAGTTATTGATTTTACAAATTATATAAAATTCAAACAATGTTTAAATAAAAATTTAAAATATTTATAAAATTTTCATGGGGGCCCATAGTGCACATGGGCCCACCATGTGGCAAATGAGTGGGGGCCCACATATGCCACATATGGGTGGCACACCCCACCCATTGCTTCCTTTGTTATTACTTTGATATCAAGTTTTGTAATTTTTGAAGAGTCCATCTTATAAGCATATGGTCAAATATTGTTTGGGAAATATTGACCAAATCTTATATTGATTATTGATAGAATATCTTGACTTGATATTTCTTGATATATTCTTATGGAATATATGAGATGGATAATGCAATTTATAGAATGTATGATATGTTTAATAGATTTAATTTATTTAAATATAT